TTGCGATAAGAAAAAAGAATATATATACAAACAGCATCTTGAAAGAATCATCTGAGATGTTTGTACGAAAGAAAATATAAATATTTTCTTCAAGAAGAGAATTAAAATAATGAAAATGAAAATTAAAATAATCTTCTTTTATCACATTTCATATTTAAAAAATCTTTATTATTACTTTTAAACTGACCATGTAATATTACAATCTGTAATATCTCGATTAAAATCGCTCTATGACTTGTTGCCATTGCGTTTCAAGAAATTTGCGATAAGAAAAAAGAATATATATACAAACAGCATCTTGAAAGAATCATCTGAGATGTTTGCACGAAAGAAAATATAAATATTTTAAAAATAAATTTAGTTCTTCCAGAACATGGATAATCCAAACTATCGTACTTATTCCTATATTTATATAATTCTTCGTATCCTTGAGTAACCTTGATTCCATAACACGCGAATTAGCATAATAATAAGCACGGTTCCGTTGCAGGGGAACGAGTCGGTGATACCGGAAGGCTGGCCTCTGACGTTGGGAAGACGTGGCCTCGTCCTGCAGCTAGGAGAGCTCGAGGCCTCCGCGCTACGTCTCGGGGAATGTTACCTTTGCATACGCAGCGCAGCTGCAGTTGCAACCACCTCAGGGAGCGGCGAAGTTGCCGCTGGTGACGAGCGGAATACCGTCGAGGTGAGTCACGTTTTCCTCAGCCTTTTTTTCATTTCCATCCGCGGAAATTAATCTCCTGGAGAAATTTCCGGAGAACGTTGCGCGATCCTCGTTTTTCACGATCGTTAATCGATATCATATTAATGTTATTATGAGAAACAGGGTTTCTTTGAAAAGTGTGTCAATAATGTAATTTTTAGATTAAATTTTCGAATCAATATAACATATTTTCTATTGTTTAATCAATAATTGTTTGCCAATTTTTTATCAGATTTTCTGATATAAAACTTGTTACGTTTGTAATTTCTGATGATTATCTTTGGTCAAAAAATTAAGATTGTTCATATGATTTTCAATATTTTTCATGTTTCTTACTAAAATCTGAACAAAATTTAATAGCAAATTTTGTAAATTATTAATGTATTTCATATATATTGTGATGCGTAATATCTAATTATTTTTTGCTATACTTTCATGACTAAACAACTATTCCAATTGAAGTTTATTTAAAACATTTATATACATCCTCAGTCACTATATTAATAGGTTTAAAAAAAATTTATATATTTGACAAAATCAATGAATATCGAAAAAGGAAGAGACATGAATTATTATATGTACATAATTTATGACCATGCATACTAATTCGATTATATGACAGAGAAAAATGAACCTCTCGTACGTCTTATATAATACAATAGAACTGACGAAGTAACTGCAATTTTTAACGTATCGAAAGTTGTAATTATTTCTTTTTCATTTCCCTTTAAATAAAGTTTAAGTGCATGAATCATATAATAAATGGAAATGTATCTCGGTTTTCCAAATTTTCTTTGCATTTCACAAGAATCTTCTTACCCCCGTTTCCTTAAGATTTCTTTTCAACAGTTTAATTACACGTTAAAATCATAAAATCACTCACTCTCGAACCTCTCTTTCGTTTAGATTGCAGTAGTTTGGCGAACG